CACATTCCACCGGGAATTCCCGGTGTTTCCGGCTGTCTCTCACGTCGAGCAGGGACGGATTTATCCGGGGAATTCCCACTGGGAACGGGCCGGGATCCCGGGAATTCCCAGGAATTCCCATTGGGCACAGGGATTCCGTGAGTTCCCAGTTGGAATTTTTGGGAATTCCGGGTGTTTTTCCCGGGATTTTCCCGGTGTTGCGGGCTGTCTCATGTTGAGCAGGGACAGATTTATCCTGGGAATTCCCACTGGGAACGGGCTGGGATCCCGGGAATTCCCAGGAATTCCCATTGGGCACAGGGATTCCGGGAGTTCCCAGTGGGAATTCCCAGGCATTCCGGGTGTTTCTCCCGGGATTTTCCCGGTGTTTCCGGCTGTCTCTCACGTCGAGCAGGGACAGATTTATCCTGGGAATTCCCAATAGGAACGGGCCAGGATCCCGGGGATTCCCATTGGGCACAGGGATTTCGTGAGTTCCCAGTGGGAATTTTTGGGAATTCCCGGGCATTCCGGGTGTTTCTCCCGGGAATTCCCGTTGTTTCCGGCTGTCTCTCACGTCGAGCAGGGACAGATTTATCCTGGGAGTTCCCACTGGGAACGGGCCGGGATCCCGGGGATTCCCAGGAATTCCCACTGGGCCACAGGGATTCCGGGAGTTCCCAGTGGGAATTCCCGGGCATTCCGGGTGTTTTTCCCGGGATTTTCCCGGTGTTTCCGGCTGTCTCTCACGTCGAGCAGGGCGCTGTCCATGCTGAAGCCGTGGGTGCTGAGCAGCGCCTGCAGATTGTCCAGGCTGGAGTCGATCGTGTCCAGGTGCTCGTTCAGCTCCGACCTGGCGGCGGGAAAAACACCGGGAGTCAGGAAAGGAAACACCGGGAATGAACAGCGGGAACGGGGAACGGCAACACCGCGAATGGGGAACAACGCCGGGAGTCAGGAAAGGAAAACACCGGGAATGAACAGCGGGAATCAACAGCGGGAACGGGGGGGGAAACACCGGGAATGAACAGCGGGAACGGGGAACGGAAACACCGGGAATGGGGAACAACGCCGGGAGTCAGCAACGCAAAACACCGGGAATGAACAGCGGGAACAGGGGGGGAAACACCGGGAATGGGGAACGGCAACACCGGGAATGGGGAACAACACCGGGAGTCAGCAACGGGAATGGGGAACGGCAACACCAGGAACGGGGGAAAACACCGGGAATGAACAGCGGGAACAGGGGGGGAAACACCGGGAATGGGGAACGGCAACACCGGGAATGGGGAACAACGCCGGGAGTCAGGGAAGGAAAACACCGGGAATGAACAGCGGGAACGGGGAACGGAAACACCGGGAATGGGCAACGGCAACACCGGGAATGGGGAACGGCAACACCGGGAATGGGGCGGGAGTCAGGAAAGGAAACGCCGGGAAACACCGGGAATCAACAGTGGGAACGGGGGGGGGAAACACTGGGAATGGGGAACGGCAACACCGGGAATGGGGAACGGCAACACCGGGAATGGGGAACAACACCGGGAGTCAGGAATGGCAACATCGGGAATGGGGGGGAAGCACCGGGAATGAGTAACAGCAACAGCGGGAACCGGGAACAACGCCAGGAGTGAGGAACGGAAACACCGGGAACGGGGGGGGGGAAACATTGGGAATGAGCACCGGGAACACCAGGAATAGGGAACAGCAACACCAGGAATGGGGAATGGAAACACCGGGAATGGGGAATGGCAACACCGGGAATGGGGAACGGAAACACCGGGAACGGGGGGGGGGAAACATTGGGAATGAGCACCGGGAACACCGGGAATAGGGAACAGCAACATTGGAAATGGGAAATGGAAACACCGGGAATGGAGAATGGCAACGCCGGGAATGGGGAAAAACACCAGGAATGAGGAACAGCAACACCGGGAATGGGGAACAATGCCGGGAATGAGGAACAAAAATACTGGGAATGGGGAACGGAAACACCAGGAATGAGCACCGCGAACGGGAAAAACACCGGGAATGAGGAACAGCAACACCGGGAATGGGGAACGAAAACACCAGGAATGAGCAGCGGGAATGGGGGAAACACCGGGAATCAACACCTGGAATGGGGAAAACACTGGGAATGAACACCGGGAACACCGGGAATGGGGAACAACGCTGGGAATGAGGAACGGCAACACCGGGAACGGGGAATGGAAACACCGGGAATGGGGAACGAAAACACCGGGAATTAGGAACAGCAACACCGGGAATGAACAGTGGGAACAGGGAAAAACAACGGGAATGAGCGCCGGCAACACCGGGAACAGGGAACGAAAACACTGGGAATGAGCACCAGGAACACCAGGAATGGGGAACAATGCTGGGAATGAGGAACAGCAACACTGGGAATGGGGAACAAAAACACCAGGAATGGGGAAAAACACCGGGAATGAGCACCCGCAACACCGGGAATGAGCACCGGGAACACCGGGAATGGGGAAAACCACCGGGAACGAGGAACAGCAACACCGGGAACGGGGAACCAAAACACCGGGAATGAGCACCGGTAACACTGGGAATGGGGAACAACGCCGGGAATGAGCACCCGCAACACCGGGAATGGGGAACGAAAACACTGGGAATGAGCACCGGGAATGGGGGAAACACCGGGAATGAACAGTGGGAACAGCGGAAGTGGGAAAAACACTGGGAATGAACACCGGGAACAGAGGGAAACACCGGGAATGAACAGTGGGAACAGCGGGAACGGGAAAAACACCAGGAATGAGGAGCAGCAACACTGGGAATGGGGAGCGGCAACACCGGGAATGAGGAGAGGGAAGTGGGAAAAACACTGGGAATGAACACCGGGAACAGAGGGAAACACCGGGAATGAACGCCGGGAATGAACAACAGGAATGGAGAAAACACCGGGAATGGAGGAAAACACCGGGAATGAACAGTGGGAACAGCAGGAACGGGGAAAATACCGGGAATGAGGAGCAGCAACACTGGGAATGGGGAGCGGCAACACCGGCAATGAGCACCGGGAACAGCGGGAATGGGGAAAACACCGGGAATGAACACTGGGAATGGGGAAAAACACCGGGAATCAACACCAGGAACGGGGAAAAACACCGGGAATGAGGAGAGGGAGCTGGGAAAAACACCGTGAATGAACGCCTGGAATGGGAAAAGAACACCAGGAATGAACAGCGGGAATGGGGGAAAACACCGGGAATGAACAACAGGAATGGAGAAAACGCCGGGAATGGAGGAAAACACCGGGAATGAGGAGCGGCAACACTGGGAATGGAGAACGGCAACACCGGGAATGAGCACCGGGAACAGGGAAAAACACCAGGAATGAACAGCAGGAACAGGGAAAAACACCGAGAATGAACAGCGGGAATGGGGGAAAACACCGGGAATGAGGAGTGGGAACGGCGAAAACCACCAGGAATGAGGAACAGCAACACCAGGAATGGGGGAAAACACTGGGAATGAGAGGCAAAACCACCGGGAATGGAGAAACAACAACACCGGGAATGAGGAGCGGCAACACTGGGAATGGAGAACGGCAACACCGGGAATGAGCACCGGGAACAGAGGAAAACACCGGGAATGAACAGCGGGAATGGGGAAAACACCGGGAATGAACACCGGGAATGGGGAAAAACACCGGGAATCAACACCAGGAACGGGGAAAAACACTGGGAATGAGGAGAGGGAAGTGGGAAAAACACCATGAATGAACGCCTGGAATGGGAAAAGAACACCAGGAATGAACAGCGGGAATGGGGGAAAACACCGGGAATGAGCACCGGGAACAGGGAAAAACACCAGGAATGAACAGCAGGAACAGGGAAAAACACCGAGAATGAACAGCGGGAATGGGGGAAAACACCGGGAATGAGGAGTGGGAACGGCGAAAACCACCAGGAATGAGGAACAGCAACACCAGGAATGGGGGAAAACACTGGGAATGAGAGGCAAAACCACCGGGAATGGAGAAACAACAACACCGGGAATGAGGAGCGGCAACACTGGGAATGGAGAACGGCAACACCGGGAATGAGCACCGGGAACAGAGGAAAACACCGGGAATGAACAGCGGGAATGGGGAAAACACCGGGAATGAACAGCGGGAATGGGGGAAAACACCGGGAATGAGGAGTGGGAACGGCGAAAACCACCAGGAATGAGGAACAGCAACACCAGGAATGGGGGAAAACGCTGGGAATGAGCACCGGGAACAGACGGAAACACCGGGAATGAACACCGGGAATGAGGAGCAGCAACACCGGGAATGAACAACAGGAATGGAGGAAAACACCGGGAACGAGGGGCAGCAACAGTGGGAACGGACAACAACGGCACGGGGAATGAGCAACAGCAACACCGGGAATGGTCAACACTGGGAATGAACACCAGGAATAATGGGAATAAACACCGGGAATGATCGATCAACAACACCCGGAATAAACATCGGGAATGATGAACAACACCGGGAATGATCAACAACAACGGGAATGAACAACCAACAACACCGGGAATGGTCAACACTGGGAATGAACACCAGGAATAATGGGAATAAACACCGGGAATGATCGATCAACAACACCCGGAATAAACATCGGGAATGATGAACAACACCGGGAATGATCAACAACAACGGGAATGAACAACCAACAACACCGGGCCCGCTCCCACTTTCCCTGAGCTGGGAATTCTGGGAATTCCGCCTCACTCCTGCTTTTCCCGAGCTGGGAATTCCGGGAATTTTGGGAATTCCACCCTGCTCCCACTTTGCCTGAGCTGGGAATTCCGGGAATTCTGCCTCACTCCTGCTCTTCCCAAGCTGGGAATTCCGTGAATTTTGGGAATTCCACCCTGCTCCCACTTTCCTTGAGCTGGGAATTCCAGGAATTTTGGGAATTCCACCCCGCTCCCACTTCTCCCGAGCTGGGAATTCTGGGAATTCCGCCTCACTCCTGCTCTTCCCAAGCTGGGAATTCTGTGAATTTTGGGAATTCCACCCCGCTCCCACTTTCCCTGAGCTGGCAATTCCGTGAATTTTGGGAATTGCGTGGCTCACTTGTCGAGGCAGGCGACGCTCAGGCACTTTTCCTGGGATTGGGGATTCCCGGGAGCGGCTCCGGAGTCGTTCTCCCGCAGGATGGAGTCGATGAAGGTGGAGGGGGACAGGGGGGTCTCGGAATTCCCGGGATTTCCAGGATTTCCGGGATTCCCGGGATTCTTGGGCTCCTCCACCTGCGGGCTCCGCGTGGGGCTGGGAGGCTCCTCCTTGATCCGGATCACCGGGCTGCTCCTGAGGGGAAAAACAACGGGAAAATGGGAATAACGGGAATGGGGAAAAATGGGGAAAAATGGGGAAATGGGAATGGGGAAAACGGGAAAAATGGGAATGATGGGAATGGGGAAAATGGGAATAATGGGAATGGGAAAAATGGGAATAATTGGAATGGGGAAAATGGGAATGGGGAAGGAAATGGGAATGGGGAAAAATGGGAATAATGGGAAAATGGGAATGGGGAAAAATGGCAATGGGGAAAAATGGGAATGGGGATGGAAATGGGAAAAATGGGAATGGGGAAGGAAATGGGAATGGGGAAAAATGGGAATAATTGGAATGGGAATGGAAATGAGAAAAATGGGAATGGGAATGGGAATAGGAAAAAATGGGAATGGGAAAAATGGGAATGGGGAAGGAAATGGGAATGGGGAAAAATGGGAATAATGGGAAAATGGGAATGGGGAAAAATGGCAATGGGGAAAAATGGGAATGGGGATGGAAATGGGAAAAATGGGAATGGGGGAAAATGGGAATGGGGAAAATGGGAAAAATGGGAATGATGGGAATGGGGAAAAATGGGAATGGGGAGAAATGGCAAAAATTGGAATGGGAATGGAAATGAGAAAAATGAGAATGGGAATAGGAAAAAATGGGAAAAATGGGAATGAGGAAGGAAATGGGAATGGGGAATGAGAAAAATGGGAATAGGAATGGGGAAAATGGGAATGCATAAAGTGAGAAAAACAAAAATTATGGGAATGATGGGAAAAATGGGAATGGAAGCAGGGAAAATGGGAATGATGGGAAAAATGGGAATGATGGGAAAGAGAAAATGGCAATAATAGGAATGATGAGAATGGGGAAAAATTGGAAAAATGGGAATGGGAAAGGGAAAAATGGGAATGGGGAAAAATGGGAAATGGGGAAAAAGAAATGGGAAATAGGAATGAACAACGGAAATGGGAATGGGAAAAATCCAGCCCAATTCCCCCATTCCCAGGGATTTCCAGGATTCCATTCCCAGGGAATATCGGGATCCCATTCCCAGGGAATTTTGGGATCCCATTCCCGGGGATTTTTCAGGACCACATTCCCAGGATTTTTTGGGAATTTCCCCCACCTGCCCTCCCCCATTCCCAGGGATTATGGGAATCTATTCCCAGGGATTTCGGGACCCCATTCCCGGGTATTTCGGGACCCCATTCCCAGGAATTTCAGGACTCCATTCCCAGGGAACTTCGGGACCCCATTCCCAGGGATTTTGGGACCCCATTCCCAGGGATTTTGGGGAATTTCCCCATCTGCCATCCAGGCTCCCTCCCCCATTCCCAGGGAATTTCGAGACCCCATTCCCAGGAATTTCGGGAATTCCCCCACCTGCCCTTCCCCATTCCCAGGGATTTCAAGACCCCAATCCCAGGATTTTGGCACCCCATTCCCAGGGAATTTCGGAACCCCATAGACCCCATTTCCTGGGAATTCCGGGAATTCCCCCACCTGCCGTCCAGGCTCCCTCCCCCATTCCCAGGGAATTTCGGGACCCCATTCCCAGGGATTTTGGGATCCCATTCCCAGGGATTTTGGGACCTCATTCCCAGGGATTACGGGACCCCATTCCCAGGAATTTCAGGAATTCCCCCACCTGCCCTTCCCCATTCCCAGGGATTTCGGGACCCCATTCCCATGGATTTCGGGACCCCATTCCCACGGATTTCGGGACCCCATTCCCAGGGATTTCGGGACCCCATTCCCAGGGATTTTGGGACCCCATTCCCATGAATTTCAGGACCCCATTCCCAGGGAATTTCGGGACCCCATTCCCAGGGAATTTTGGAACCCTATTCCCAGGGAATTTCGGGACCCCATTCCCGGGAATTTACCCCATTCCCAGGGAATTTTGGAACCCCATTCCCAGGGATTTTGGGACCCGATTCCCAGGGAATTTCGGGAATCCTCCCCCACCTGCCCTCCCCCATTCCCTGGGATTTCGGGACCCCATTCCCATGGATTTTCAGGAATTTCCCCCACTTGCCCTCCCCCATTCCCAGGGATTTCGGGACCCCATTCCCAGGGATTTCGGGACCCCGTTCCCAGGGATTTCGGGACCCCATTCCCAGGGATTTTGAGACCTCATTCCCAGGGAATTTGGAGCCCATTCCCAGGGATTTTGGGAGCCCATTGCCAAGTATTTCAGGCCCCCATTCCCAGGGAATTTCAGGACCCCATTCCCAGGAATTTCGGGACCTCATTCCCATGAATTTCTGAACCCCGTTCCCAGGGATTTCGGGACCCCGTTCCCAGGCAATTTCGGGACCCCATTCCCGGGAATTCCGGGAATCCCCCACCTGCTGTCCAGGCTCCCTCCCCCATTCCCAGGGAGTTTTAGGACCCCATTCCCAGGAATTTCGGGACCCCATTCCCGGGAATTCCCCCACCTGCCCTTCCCCATTCCCAGGGATTTCGGGACCCCATTCCCAGGGATTACGGGACCCCATTCCCAGGAATTTCGGGAATTCCCCCACCTGCCGTCCAGGCTCCCTCCCCCATTCCCAGGGAGTTTTAGGACCCCATTCCCAGGAACTTCGGGACCCCATTCCCAGGGAATTTTGGAACCCCATTCCCAGGGATTTTGGGACCCCATTCCTGGGAATTTCGGGACCCCATTCCCGGGAATTCCGGGAATCCCCCACCTGCCGTCCAGGCTCCCTCCCGGCGAGGCCTCGGGGCTGCTGGGGGGCAGCTCGGTGACGTCCGAGATGATGGGGCCGGAGTTGGGACCGGGATCCGCCGGGAACAGCGCGGGGCCCGACAGCGCCGGGGCCGCGGCCTGCGGGACAGCCCGGAGCTGGGAATCTCGGGAAAAGTGGGGCTGGGAGCAAGGAATTCCCAGGAAAAGCAGGGCCTAGGGACAGCCCGGAGCTGGGAATCCCGGGAAAAGTGGGGCCGGGAGCCAGGAATTCCCAGGAAAAGCAGGGGGGGAGCACAGAATTCCCAGGAAAAGCAGGGCCCAGGGACAGCCCGGAGCTGGGAATCCCGGGAAAAGCAGGGGGGGAGCACGGAATTCCCGTGAGGTGGAAGGCCAGAATTCCAACAAAAAGGAAGGGAGGAATCCCAAAATTCCAGGCAGATAAAATCCCACTAATTCCTTGTCTCATCCCATTCCCACAACTTCCAAATCCCAATCCCAAGAAATCCCAATCCCACAAATCCCATTCCCAAGAAATCCCAATCCCTAAATTCCATAAATCACAATCAATCCCAATCCCAATCAATCCCAATCTCCCAAATCCCAATCCCAAGAAATCCCAATCCTACAAATCCCATTCCCAAGAAATCCCAATCCCCAAATTCCATAAATCCCAATCAATCCCAATCCCAAGAAATCCCAATCCCACAAATCTCAATCCCCAATCAATCCTAATCCAAATAAATCCCAATCCCACAAATCCCATTCTCAATTAAGCCCAATCCCAATAAATCCCAATCCTAATAAATCCCATTCCCCAAAAATCCCAATCCCTCAATTCCATAAATCCCAATCAATCCCCCAAATCCCCGGGATTTTTGGAATCCCACTCACGGAATAAGCAGAGTTGCCGTGGTGCTCCAGGGAATTCCCAATAATCCAAATAAATCCCAATCCCATTCCCAATCAATCCCAATCCCATTCCCAATCAATCCCAATCCCCCAAATCCCAATCCCCAAGACATCCCAATCCCAAGAAATCCCAGTCCCCAAATTCCATAAATCCCAATCAATCCCAATCCCCAAATCCCACTCCCAGTCAATCCCATCAATCCCATCAATCCCATGGATTTTTTGGGATGCTGCTCACGGGGTAGGCGGCATTCCCATGGTGCTCCAGGGAATTCCCAATCAATCCCAATCCCAATCAATCCCATCAATCCCAATAAATCCCATCAATCCCAATCAATCCCATCAATCCAAATGAATCCCAATCAATCCCATCAATCCCAATCAATGCCATTCCAAATCAATGCCATTCCCAATCAATCCCAATCTCATCAATCCCATCAGTCCCAATAAATCCCATCAATCCCAATCAATCCCATTCCCAATCAATGCCATTCCCAATCAATGCCATTCCCAATCAATCCCAATCCCAATCAATCCCAATCAATCCCAATCAATCCCATTCCCAATCAATCCCAATCAATCCCAGTCAATCCCGGGGATTTTTCGGGATGCTGCTCACGGGGTAGGCGGCGTTCCCGTGGTGCTCCAGGGAATTCCCAATCAATCCCATTCCAAATCAATCATCCCATTCCCAATCAATCCCAATCAATCCCAATGAATCCAAATGAATCCCATCAATCCCAATCAATCCCATTCCCAATCAATCCCAATAAATCCCAATGAATCCAAATGAATCCCATCAATCCCAATCAATCCCATCAATCCCAATCAAT